ATATACATTGTTTTTCACACGGGATCCTCCCATTTCCTTTACCCACGTGTGTGTGTGTGTGTGTGTTTTAATATTCTATCGTATTCTTGTTGATTGTTGTTGGTTGCCTTCAAGTCAAGCACGACTCACAGCGACCCCATGAACAAAAGGCCTGAAGCCCCTTCACAACCACTGACATTTGTCAAAGCTCATAGTTTCCAGAGGCATGTTATATAGTATGTTATGTTTATTGTATTGTATTATGTTATGTATATTATGTCATGTTATGTTTTATGTTATGTTTGTTATCTTATGTATGTTATGTTATGTTATGTTATGTTATGTTATGTTATGTTATGTTATGTTATATCCTATGTAAGCATCTGAACCATGTGAACCCAAGTCCTCTGTGGCCTGTCCCAGCACAACCTGCAGGAAGTGGCCGAGCTGCGTGGCCAAGCCCAGGGCCGGGACGTGCTGCCCCCGCTGCCCTCGAGCCCCAGGCAGGATGGAGGCTTTGGTGTCACAGGGGAGGGAGTCGCGCCCACACGGCTTCTTCGGGAGACGCTGGGACTTTAGACCAAACACAACTCCAGCTCTTTCTCGTTTGATTTGTTAGCACCTCTTCCTCCAAACAAAGATTCTGGTTTTTAAACGTCCACCAAAACCCCATCCTGTAAAGCCTTGGTTAGCTCTTCAGAACGGGAACCAAAACCATCTTCGACGTCTACTCACAACCTCATGGCGGGTCAGCCCCATGGGTCAAGAACGGCTGCCGCGGACACAGAAGACATGATGGTGCAAGGGACTGAGCGCTGGGCCAGTGGGGCCCTCTCAGCGCCACCAACAGGCCCACAGGCCAAAAAGGAGCCAAAAAGGTGAGCAGCCCCTGAACCCTCTGGGCAGTTCTGCTCTGACCTCTCCACTCTGGCCTCTAGGGAGGCCGTGAGCTGAAGGCAAGTCCAGGGCAGGCACTCTGTTTTGTTTTTGTTTTTGTTTTTAAATAGAGCCAAATCATAAGCATTTAATGATACATACATCTTGGATGAAATAAAAACAGCGAAATCAGATCCTAAATATAATTATCCAAGCGTGGGAAACAATTTAAGGCCTGTTGGGTTTTTTAAAAATATTTTCATTTATTTATTTTTCATTTCAATGAACATCTACAGAGATTTTGGAATTCCATTCATTCATTGTTGCACCCTTCTTCCAGCCCACCCCACCTCAGGCGGTCTGTTTTGTGGGTGTGGTTTGGCCTTGACCATGGTGGTGGCCTTTAAAGAGCTTTCTGCATGAAGCTTAGAGGCGTTCGCTCATGAGGGAGAAATGATTCGGAAGAAGGAGTGCGGGTGAAAACGCTACGACTCACGATTGTCACCGATGAATCCTCAACAACGAAGATAAACCCAGTTCTTCGAGTCCTGGACTGCCACGGCTTCACACCCCCCCCCCCAGCTCCCTTTGCAAAGGACTTTCCCTAATAGTTCTTTCCTTGCAAAAATAAAATAATTTGTTAATAATACGTATTCTAAAACATATATATTGTGAAATGTTGGTACTCGAGTGGGGTCAGTGCTGGGAGCCCACTGGCAAATGTCACAACCACCAGCCCCCGGCAGTCAGGGGTGAGAAACCGGATGTGAAATGGGCCCAGCGCTCTGACTTAATCCTTGACGATATCATCACAGCCCCTGTCGAAGCACTGAAGATAACCAGATCCACTTCGACTTCCCACGCTTTGGTACCTAATCTTGTTCAGGGTTGTACCCCAAGGAAACGGTGTGAATACGGGACAGAAAGCAGGAAGGTCAGTGGTGCCAAGAGATTTACAGCCACGCCAACTTTTAAAGGGGAAGCTTGGCAACCCCCTCCCCCAGGGTTCAACTAGGAGACATAGCCTGCGTTTATGTTTCTTTTAAAAAGTATTTGCAGTGAATAAATCCTTGATTGTGCCAAATTCTATCATTCTATCTCCAGCTTCATTTCTGTCTCCAAGTCCATGGTTTCCAACTACTGATACTTCTTCTCTGTTCCCAGCTTTTGCATTCCAGTCACCCATTATTATTAATGCATCTTGATTGCATGTTCAATTGATCTCTTGCTGCAGAAATTGGTAGACATTTTACATTTCCTTCCCTTTGGCTTTGGTTGCATCATATCGAGGGTGGGACGGGGAGGTAGGTGTTGAATGGCATAAGTGGGAGTAGAAGGGGATGCTGGTGGAGCAGGGAAAGGGGTGGGTCAAGGCACACATGTCAAGGGCGGGACAACATTGGATCAATTGGTTATTTCTATAACTGGGTAAATATTTATCATCTGCTCTTTTCTGTAAAATGCTTGTCTATCAGATACTGTTCTAAATCTGAGCATTCAATTTAGGACAGACTAGGAAGAAGGATTACCCAACCACTTCCAAAATAACAGGCCTTTGAAAACCCTACGTACAATAGAGCACATTTAGACTAGCAGATGTGGCAACTGAGGCTGAGCCTTCAAGTACGGGAACACAGAGGAGGAGGAACAGCTGTAAGCAGACACTAGTGATTAGAAACAAGGAATGCGAGAACCATGAATGTAGGAGAATTGGACATTGTGGCAAGAAGCTGCACTGCAATCCCAGAGGCACGTGGTTCGAATCCAACAGATGCTCTGCTGGAGAAGGAGGGACAATCTCCTCCTGTACCGGTCAGAGCTGATTTGACAGAATATGCACAAAAAATACTAAAATAAAATAAATAATATTAGCATACTAGGTATTGGTAAAATGAGATGGACTGGCATGGGACACTTTAAGTCAGACGTTCATATGATCTGCTATTCTGGAGACGAAAAGATGAGAAAAAACAAGGCTGCTTTCATAGTTAAAAAAGTCATTTCTAGATTCATCTTGAAATACAATGTTGTGAGTGACAGAATAATATCCACATGCAGACAAGGAAGTCCCGTGAATACCAGACCAAGAGGGTGTAGAAAAGAACACGCTGTCTTGTTTTCTGGGGTAACCCCAGGTCCTGGAGCCGTGTCTGCCAGCGAACATGCCCAGAGGTATTTGTTGAGTTTGAGGGAGAGAAATGGGAAGAGAGAGGGAGACACAGTGAGAGCAAGAGTGGGGGCAGAAAAGGGGGGAAGGAAGACAGAGGGAAAGAGAGAGGGAGGGGAGAAGGTGGGAGAATGGGAGGGGAGAGAACAGGAGTGAAGGAGGAAGAGTGGGAGGGGGAAGGATGGAGTAGAGAGGGGGAGTGTGAAAGGGAAGGAAAGAGAGGAGAAGTGTGGGGAGAGAAGCAGAAAGTGGGGTGGGGCGGGGGGAGGGAGGAGAAAGTAAGGGAGTTTGATGAGAGAGAGAGGGAGAGTGAGAAAGAGGGAGAGAGAGAGGAGACAGAGAAGGTGAAGGGGATGTGGTAAGAAAGAGAGAGGGAGGGAAAGAGAGAGAGTGTTGAGGGGGGAGAAGGGAAGAGAAGGGGAGGAGAGAGGAGAGGGGGGAGAGGGAGGAAAGGGAAGAGGAGGAAGGGGGAGGGGAAGAGAGGGAGAATTAGCGTTCATTTCAAAGTGATGGCACCTGCTTCTCTGTGTGTGTGTGCACATGTGTTGGGAGACCTGGGGGTTCTGGTATAAGAGTAAGACTCTGTGCGTGTGTGTGTGTGTGTAAATATAGGTGTATCTGTGTGTGAGGAGTGGGCACCTGGATGTGTGTGGTATAGGAGAGAGATGGGTGGTGGTGAGGGGGGGGATGGTGTGGGATATGTGAGTGTGTGTGTGTGTGTATGTGAATGTGTGTACATGACAAGGTGTGCGTATGTGTGTCTGTGTTTGTGGGAAGGGTGTAAAGATATGAGCTTAGGGATGTTTCTGTGTGTGTGATGGGGTGTGTCTGTAGGAGGGGTGTGAAGGTATGAGGTGGTGTGGGTGGGTTGGTATCTCTGTGTGTGAGGGGTGTGGGTGGGTGGGTGTGTCTGTGGGAGGGTGTGAAGGTATGATGATGTGGAGGGGGTATCTGTGTGTGATAGCGTGTGTGTGTTTATGAGATGGTATGAAGGGATGAGGATGTGGGAGGGTGGGTATCTCTGCGTGTGATAGAGTGTGTGTGTCCGTGGGAGGCTGTGAAGTATGAGGATGAGAGGCGTCTGTGTGGGGTTGCGGTGTGTCTCTGTGTGTGATATTGGGGAGAGGCTGTGAAGGTATGATGATGTATGAGGGGAAGATGTCTGTGTATGTGCGCACGTATGAAGGGTGTGTAGCACTGACCACATACACTGAGCTTGGCAAACCCCTGAGCTCCCCACGTGGGACAGTGTGGGGCTTCCTTCCTCACCCCACGGGACAGAGTCCCCAGGATGACCCCGACTCCGCCCTCTGCAGTCTCTCAGGGCCAGGATCCCTGGCTCAGGTCGTGCTGTGGAACTGATCAATCAGCATCTCCATCAGCATTTCACTTACTTCTCGATGACAAGGCCAGTTTCACTGATGGACTGTGGACACCAAAGTCCCTGACCTGTCACAGCCACCCCAGCTAGGCCCACACTCCACAGGTATCCCCCCATCATGGTGGGGTGAGACCCTCAAACCATCTCGTACAGGTGTCTGAGTAGATAAGGAGAAATGACACAGAGAGGCCGAGAGAGGACAAGCTGTCAGACGGAGGACGGGCTGCTGGGGGACACACAGCGAGGCGACTGTCCAGTCCTGAGACTGCTGACTATGATATGTCCAGTGTACTCCAGCACGTGCCACGTGAGGCCAGGCGGACAAAGGGGCTGAGCAGATAGGAAGATGTGTCCAGCCCAGGGATCCCGCCGCTGCTGTCGGTGGGCCGGGTGTGCATCAGGGTGTCCAGGCAGGGCTGGACGGACAAAGGGATAGGCTAAGGGGAGAGGAGGCGGGGCCAGGTGGGCCGGGCTGGCAGCCACTCGGCCTCTGGAACCACTTTTGTGGCACAATCACTTGGACGCCTGGCAGCTCGAGGTGAACCTGGGACTTTGCCCCCCTCGTGACACACAGCGGCCACTCGCAGACGATCCGTCATGAGCCGGCTGACCGTCCTCCTGGCGGTGGCTCTGGCTGCCCTGCTGGCGCCGGGGGCCGGGGTGCCTGTCAGGGTGCCTGGAGCACAGGGGTCCCGGAACAAGTTGCTCCTGGTGTCCTTTGATGGCTTCCGCTGGAACTACGACCAGGATGTGGACACCCCAAACCTGGACGCCATGGCCCTCGAGGGAGTGAAGGCACGCTATATGACCCCAGCCTTTGTGACCATGACCAGCCCCTGCCACTTCACCTTGGTCACTGGTGAGTACAGGCCGTGGGCAGGGGGAGGAGAGCCCCACGGCTCCCATGTCCCAGTCTCCTGGGTCCCAGACAGGGGCTCTGTCCTGGGCAAAAGAGGGATAAAGAGGGACACTGCCCCTGCTCCCAGGAGGGCACGCTCTCACTGGAGAGATAGGTGACCAGCAAGGAAACCATCAGGACCCTCAGTGCCAACTGACCAAGGACATGCTGAAAGTACCTATGGGATTCTTAAATCCGGACACAGTCAGGATAGCAACCCAGGAGGACTTCCCAGAGGAGGAAGCAAGTGGGAGCAGAAAGAAGGACTGGAGATGAGCCCACTGCGCTTGTGGCCTCTCCGTCTGCGCTCACATCTGCAGGACCAGCAGGACCAGACATCTGCATGGTTCTGAGTTTTGTTCTGTCTTCCTCCCACTCTGCACAGAGCAGGGAGCCCTGGTGGGACAGTGGGTAATGTGTTGGATGGCTAAGCACAGGGCCAGGGCTTCACGTCCAACTCCTCTGAAGTAGAAAGATGAGGTGCTCTACACGCATCAGAATTTACAGCCCCAGAGCCTGATGGAGGACACCCCAAGTCCTGATGAGGACCCCAAGCCTCTGTCCAGGACCTGCCACTGGGGTCCCCTGTAGAGTGGCCAGTAAGGGGAGATGGGCACCATCCAGCTCTCCTGCCCTCGAGGGCAAGGAGATGGGGGTTCCCGCAGTCAGAGAGTCCTCTCAGCTGTTTCAGTGTCTTTGTGTCTCCTGCCTCTTCTTGGCTCCAGCGAGAGGTCAATAGTTACCCCTCAGATGACCACTCACAAGGTTTTCATTTTAAAGCTTTTTAAATAGACACAAAGTTGAAAACCAACAAGCAGTGCAAACGGGTGCTGGAGTGCCTGTGACTCGCCTGGCATTGCCATCAGCAATCGCCACAAAGGGGGCGGTTGTCAGGTGGTTCAGGCACAGCTCAGCAACCCTGAGACCAACAGCTCTGGGTCCCACCCCGGGCATCCTCACATCGCCTCTGACATGCGGGAGCCCATTGCTACAGTCACTGCGTCCATCTGTCTTGCTCAGAGTCTTTCTCCCTTTTTCTGACCCTCCACGTTTCCCAGTGTGATCTCCTTCCCAAGGACTGCCCCTCCTGACAACATGTCAAAGTCTGTAAGAGTTTCACCATCCCCGGCTTTCAGGAACACCTAGGCTGGGCTTCCTGTACACAGACTCGCTTGGTCTTTCGACAGTCAGTCCATGGGATTGTCAGGACTGTCCACCAACACCCTTCAAAGGCATTGATTCTTCCTCTGTTGTCTTTATTTATTGTCCAGGATGCAGTTGAAAAGACCGTGACTTGGGTCAGGTGCACCTTAGTCTTTAAACTGACATTCTTGCTCTTTAGCACTTTAAAGACGCTGTTGGAAATTTCCCCAGTGCAACACGTCTTTTGATTTCTTGACTGCTGCTACCAAGGGTGTTGATTGAGGATTCAAGTAAAATGAGATTGTCGAGAATTTCAATCTTCCACCTAGCGTGATGTTGCCTGTTGACCTGGTGGTGAGGATTTTGTTTTCTTGACATTGAGATTAGTTCAAACTGAAGGTTATTGTCATTGATGTTCTTCAGCAAGTGCTTCAAAGTCCTCCTCACTTTGACCAATCAAGGTCCTGTCCTCTGCATCCCCAGGCTGACGACACATCTTTCCCAACATCTCAGATCCTGCTCCTGGTAAAACAGGGTTTGTCCGCGATCGTCCCCTGGAACTGTCCACACTGCCCACTGGTGTTGCGCTGACCCACACTCATCATAGCTTCCCCCGGGTTTCTGAGGCAGTAAATCTTTCGGGGACCCCACTTCATCTTTCTCCCCAGGATCAGCTTCGAACCGCTGGTGGCTTCGAACTGCTGACCTGAGAGTTAGCAGGCCAGCATGAAGGCACTGTGCCACCGGGGCTCACATACAAGTCCCCTAGTCTCCATGTACAGGGCAGTGAGTCGTTGCTGCTGGAGAAGCTCCCAAAAGTGCCCAGGAATGTCACGCTCAGGGAAGAACACTGGTTGCCATTGAGCCTCTAGGTGGCCTGGAACCCCCAACCTTTTGGTTAGCAATGTCTGCACCTTGTGCCTTTCGGCTTTGAGTCATGAGAAGGGCCCCACCCACAGCCTGCCACCCTCTCATCCCCGCAGGGAAATACATCGAGAACCATGGTGTCGTACACAACATGTTCTTCAATACCACGTCCAAAGTGAAGCTGCCCTACCACGCCACGCTGGGAGTGGAGCGGTGGTGGGACAACGGCAGCGTGCCCATCTGGATCACCGCCCAGAGGCAGGTACTGCGATGTACACCCATGTGGGCGCCGCTGGGAGGCCGCTGCAGGCCCCTCTGTGCAGGGCGCTGGGCGGGCACGGGACTGAGGAGGGCTCAAGGCCACAGGCATGGTCCAGCCCCATCCAACTCGAGGCCCTGGGAGGTGGCACAGAGGGGGTGGGCTCCAATCCCCGCCTGGGGGCCCTGGCCAGAGGACCTCCAACCGGTGAGGTCACACCCACACCAGACACACACGTGACACAGAGGAAGTGGCCTCCCCATGCCCCACCCCCTACCTGAGGCTGAACAGCTCAAATCTAAGCCCATTCCCCAAGTGAAAATAAAATGGGGAGGGAGAGCGGTGAGCCCCGCACCCACCCCTCACAATGCTGCGAGCGCCTCAGCCCGAGGTGAAGCCTCTTCCAGGGCCAAGGGCAGGGGCACAGGGAGGCAAGGGCACCCCAGGGCCCACACAGAGCCCACGGAGGCCTGTCCCCTCCATCAGAACGGGTCTCCTCAGAGCCCTCGGCCGGATCACTGAGCTGAGAACACGGCATCTGAGCCCCCTCGTGCCAGCAGCGGTCCTGCTAAAGAGGCAGCGGGGTGACCTGGGGCAGGAGAGGCGGTTCCTAAACCCCAGACTGGCAGACAGGTGACCAGGCTGCAGGGGGGAGGGGAGGAGCAGAGACGATGGACAGACAGACAGACAGACGCGGTTGGGGCTCCAGTGGGAGGAGCCAGTGGCAGGTCAGGGGCTTCCGAGCGGCCTCAGGACAGGACACTGAGGGGGACACGCACACCTGGGCCCACAGCCCCTGAGCGACAGCTACGTGCACACGACATAGCTCTCACGGCAACCCTGCACAAGCTCTGAGCCAAAATCCCTGCTTGGCGGGCACAGGGTTGCCAGGCGACTCTCACAGAGCCTGGTGGGTCGTCTGTAGCGTGTTATCTGCAAACTCAAAGGCCGAGAGTCTCTGGTGGTTCAAATCCAGCGGCTGCCGAGAGAAGGAGGATGAACAGGCCGCCGGTAAGATTTACAGCCTCTAAAGCAGTGGAGGGTCAGTGCGTCATAACCGGCGGCACAGCAGTGGGGCGAGTGTGAGTGTGGCTCACCGGCGGCCTAGTGGTAAGAAGCTGCGCTGCAATGCCAAAGGCAGGCGGTTCGAATCCACCAGCTGCTCTGCAGGAGAAGGATGGGCAGTCTCCTCCCATGTGATTGACTGCCGCCGACCACTCTGCAGGGTCAGCTGTGGGCGCTTCTAGCTCCACAGCACACAACAACCTTCACACAAGCAGAGGCCTCGTCTTTCTCCAGCAGAGCCTCTAGGGGGCTCAAACCGCTGACCTATCGATGAGCAGTCAAACACTCTAACCGTTGTCCCACCAGGGCTCCTTACGTCACAGCCCCGTAACTGTTGCCATCGAGTCCGTTCTGGTTCTGGGAGGCCCTGAGGGACAGAGCACAGCCATCCAGGAGCACATAGCCCTGTCCTGCTCCTGTGGAGACGCTGGGGCTTCAAACCGCCCACGTCTCACTTAGCGGTCACTGTGTGCTCAGAGCCCCTGAAAGATAAGCAGGAAACCAGACCCACTGTGTGCTCAGAGCCCCTGAAAGATAAGCAGGAAACCAGACCCACTGTGTGCTCAGAGCCCCTGAAAGATAAGCAGGAAACCAGACCCACTGTGCTCAAGGGGCTCCCGACTTGGGGACCCTCCCTGGCTCTCTGAGGCTGGAAATCTTGGCCGGAGGAGACTACTTCTCATTCCCCACTGAGTGACTGGTGGATTCGAACCACCAACCTTTTGACTAGCAGCCCGATGCATTACACACTGTCTCCAGGACTCCATCTAAGGCATGTCAAAACCTCCAAATTTGGGGTGGCTGTGGGCGGCCAGAGGTTGGCGGGGCCAGCAGGCAGCCCACCCCCTAACGCACCCTCTTTCTCAGGGTCTGAAGACCGGCTCCTTCTTCTACCCTGGGGGGAACGTCACCTACCAGGGCGCGGCGGTGTCGCAGAGCCGGAAGGAGGGCGTCTTCCACAACTACAAGGACGAGCAGGAGTGGAGACGCAACATCGACACGGTCATGAACTGGTTCGTCCAGGACGGCCTGGACCTGGTCACCCTCTACTTCGGGGAGCCCGACTCCACCGGCCACAAGTTCGGGCCCGAGTCGGAGGAGAGGAAGACCATGGTGAGGCAGGTGGACCGGACCGTGGGCTACCTGCGTGAGCGCATCGAGCAGAGCGGCCTGGCCGGCAGCCTCAACCTCATCATCACCTCCGACCACGGCATGACCACCGTCAACAAGAGCGGTCAGCTCGTGGAGTTCCACAAGTTCCCCAACTTCTCCTTCAAGGACATCGAGTTCGAGCTGCTGGACTACGGCCCCAACGGCATGCTGCTGCCCAAGGAGGGGCTGCTGGACAAGGTGTACGAGGCCCTGAAGGACGCGCACCCCAATCTGCATGTCTACAAGAAGGAAGCCTTCCCCAAGGGCTTCCACTATGCCAACAACCCGCGGATCACCCCGCTTCTCATGTACAGCGACCCCGGCTACGTCATTCACGGGGTGAGGGGGGTTTACCCTCAGAGCCTCCCCACCTGCAGGGGGTCTGTCTGACCTATGAAAAGACCCCTGGTTTTTACAGGAAGGAGCCCTGGTGGCTGAGTCTATTACACGTCAGGCTGCTGGCCAGAAGGGCTGCAGTTCGAATCCACCAGCTGCTCCGGAGAGAGTGAGGCAGCCCTTCCCGTGAAGAGCCACAACCTTGGAAGCCGGAGAGGGGTCCCCGGGAGTGGGGACCAACCTGATGGCAGTGCATTCAGCTTTTCACTTTTAGCAGGAAGGGTCCCTGGTGGCACAACGGTTAAGCACTCTGCTGCACCCCTAAAGACGGTAGTTCAAAGCCACCAGCCTGCGTGTGGGAGCAGACACCAGGCAGTCTGCTCCTGGGGAGATGGCAGCCTGGGGACCCACCCTCCCCAGCAGCTCTTCTCTGTCACGTGGGGCGCTGTGAGTCGGATCAACAGTCAGCTTTGAGCAGGAGTGAAACAATAGAGAGGTCAGAGGTTCAAGCCCACTCAGAGGCCCCTTGGAGGAAAGGCCGAGTGGTCAGCTTCTGAGAAACCAGCACTGTAAACTCGGGGTGTCCAATCTTAGCTGGCATTCCAGGGAGACTCCTGTCCAAGGGCATATTGGCCACCAAAAGGACACCCCATCACCACAGCCAAAGCAGGGGGCACTCAGCTGTGGGGGGACGTGGAGGAGGGAGTCTGGGAGCCTGGGGTGCAGAGACAGTGTGGAGAGGAAGCTGGGCTCCCCGGGAGGCCCAGCACCCACCCTCGCACTGACCACTCAACCCCCTTCTCAGGAGTCCCCACACGTCCCATGAGGTCTCCATACCCACTCTCTCTTTAGGAGAGAGAGCTCTGGGGTTCAGAATTCAGCAGAGCTGAATCTTGGGGTCCCCTGCCCCCTCACTTCATTCCAGGTCAGACTGTCCAGTAACAACGTCCAACTAGACTAAAAAACCTGCAGCCCCCACGTACATTCTGACTCTCAGGGACCCTTTCGGACAGGGTGGGCCTGCCCCTTAGGGCAGGAAGGCTGAGCATGTGTATGGGGGCACCTTCCTCCCGAGGAGACGATGGTGGCTTTGAACTGCTGCCCTGCAGGTTAGCAATGTGACACTTCCCCTGGTGCCACCAGGCCTCCTAAGCAAGATATCAAACCAAACCCACTGCTGTCAAGACATGGGGAGACCCTCACTCGTGTTTCCAAGGCTGTAAATGTGGATGGGAAAAGGTGTCTGTTTTCTCCCGGGCCATTTGGTGGATTGAAGCTGCCAGGGTTTCAGTGACCGGCCTGGCACATTGCTCCTGCATCCCCAGGCACCTAAAGTGAGGTACCAACAGGTCCAGCTGTGCTGTCCTGCTGATATGTGGCCCACAGTTCCACCTGCCCCCACCACATCAAAGATAAGGGTACCTGTGAGGATGCCCAACATCTACAAGAAGTCCCACTGGCCAACATCCCCCTGTGCCCGCTGCTCAGTCCACCCTGGCTTCATGCCTCGGAGCCGGGCACCAGCCCCTGGACCACTGGAAGGAGGGGGCGGCCGAGAGGGCTGGTAGCCCTCGACACGCAGCCCAGCGCCCCTTCTCCTGCAGAGAGTGAACGTGCAGTTCAACAATGGGGAGCACGGCTTCGACAACGGGGAGCTGGACATGAAGACCATCTTCCGGGCCGTGGGGCCCAGCTTCCGGGCGGGCCTGCAGGTGGAACCCTTCGAGAGCGTCCACGTCTATGAGCTCATGTGCCACCTGCTGGGCATCGTGCCCGAGGCCAACGACGGGCATCTCAGCACCCTCCTACCCCTGCTGCACCAGGACGGGCACACGCCGGCCACACCTCGGACCTCCGTGCCACCCGAAGGCCACCCAGGTATGTCCTGCAATGCACCGCCCTCCTCACAGCAGGGCTCCGTGAAGCCTCCCCCTCACACACCCGCAGACCCTCACTCCACCTCTGAGGGGCAGAGGGAGCCTGGACCAGGCTGAGTGGGGCCTCCTGGGCAGGGCAGGGAGTGGGCTGCAGAGCTGGGACCGCGGGCCAAGCGGAGCAGGGGGAACCGTGCAGGGTGGGGGCCTGGTGCTCAGGTGAGCTGCTTGCCCCCCCCCTCACCACACCCTCCACTCCCTTAGGGGCTGCTTCCCAGCTGAGCGCCAGGAGCTCCCTGGTGACGGGGCTGATGGCGGCCACCATCCTTCTGGCCCACGTGCTATGATGCTGTGCAGTGTGAGGTCAGAGGCTGGGGGGAGGGCAGAGGGTCTCACTGTGCCCCTAGCTCCTTGGCCCAATGCCCCACAGGAAGCTGAGACAGAACTGCTGGCCACGGACCACAGAGGAGAGGGAAGGGGAGGGGACTCCCTGGCCACAACCCTGCAGCCTCTGCTTTACACTTTGATTTAAAAAGAAGATTTTGTGAATCACTGCCGGACTGGAGGGACTGGAGAGCGTTATGCTGATAAGCACAGTCCCGTAAGGACAGATACTGTGCAAGACCATCATTGTAGAAACAGATAACTAGAAAAACGTGTATGGGGACCCAAGGGGGGGCACCGGCGTGAGGAGGCATGGGAGGCGTAATCAGAGGGTCGCACAGGTTGATGGATGGAGAGAGGGGTGGGTTAAGGAAATGGGAGAGATCGATGTGGAAACCAATGTATACCAACTCTGTAAGTAAACCAGCACAAAACGAAAAGTTTATTTAAAAAAAAAAAAAAGAAAATGCAGCTGCCATCATGTTGACCTAGACTCAGGGTGACCCAGCATGTTGGAGGACAGCCTGCTCCGTGGGGTCCTCGGCGGCTGACCTTTTGGAAGCATATTGCGAGGCCTTTCTTCCTAGGTGCCTCTAGATGTATTGGAACCTGCAGCCTTTCCATTACAGCAGAGCTGTGTGCAGACAGGGCTTATAATGTGTGTCTCAGACGCTTTGTACCAAGACCAGCTCTCGAGGACTCAGATCCTCGAAGTGAGGGAGCACGGAGGAAATAAAATTTCTAAGATCTTGCATCACCCACAAATCACCCCCCTCCGGCACTCAGCAGATGTCACTATTCTGACGTCCTGGACAAGGAGACAGAAGCGGAGGGGCTGGGGGGCCTCTGCTCACGCTCTCGGGCATCTTTCTCGGGACGTCCTAGCAAAGCAGCGCTGGCACAGCCCTCCAGTTCTCCAGACCTCCCCACAAGCCTTCCCCACTTCCGTGGTGTGAACACTCCCACACAGACACGCCCTTGGGTGGGCAAACAGTCATGGGTTACACTGCTGAGAGGTCAAAGGCTTAAGTCCACTCAGAGGCACCTTGGGAGAAAGGACTGGCAATCCAGTTTAAAAATCAGCCCCTGAAGACCCTGTGGAAAACAGTGTGACACCCACTGGGTCCCCCCAAGTCAAAGTCCATGATGACAGACTCAGACTTCAGGACAATTTGTCTTTGCTTTCTGTTGTTCTCAGGTCAAGCTGAGTATGACTCATGTGAACAGCCGACCCAAACCTGGCCCTATTCTGTGCCACCTCCATCATCTCTGAAGTCACCTCGTCAATCTGTCTCATTGGGGGTCTTCCTCTCCTTCACTGACCCTCTATCTTTCCAAGCACGATGTCCCTTTCCAAGAACAGCCTTCCCTAGCTCCAGAGCAGGAGAGATGCGGCTTCACCAGCGTCCTGCAGGGAGCCCCCAGCCTGTAAACTCCCCTTGGTTTTGGAAGAGTAGCAGGCCCTGCTGGTGACAACTCCGCCTCGCAGTCCTTCCCTGGCTGCGCGTGCGGCTCCAGCATCACCGGAAAGGTCTGTAACTCTGCTCCGTACTAACGAAAGCCAAGCCCGCTGCTGTGGACCTGCTCCTGTGAGGACAGAGCAAAACTGCCAGCGTCTGAGGGCACAGCCCCACTCGGGGTGACTGGTAGACTAGAGCGCCAAGCTTTGGGTCACAAGCTGAGCGCTGGGAGGACTGTGACCACAGCTCCTTGAACCAACCAGCCCCGAAAGGCAACAGGTCTTCCTCACCATGGCCTTGGCTCTGCACACACGGTTCTGTGCACCGGTCCCGACTCCCTGCATGGGGGACATTCCACCTACACCAGGTGGGGGCATCTGAGTGTCTGTTTTCACAAGCCAGCCCCGCACACCTGCAGCAGGAGCTGCGACTGACACCCTCAGCTTAGGTGCCCATCACGGGATGCATCCCATCTGGGACTGGGGCTTCTGACTCGTGGGTCAATGTCTCTTCTCGGGAAGTGGTGCCCGGCTCAGATGGAGCAATGCAGACAGCAGAGCTTAGCTGTGGTCACCATGTCCTCCTCGTGGACTGGTGAGCAGACACCAGGTCAGGGAGGCAGAGGCTCATCTGCACCTCCCAGGAAAGGCTCCCCCTCCTCTCCCAGCTGAGTTCTGTGTCTGTTCTGTCATTCTCACGTGTTCCAGGAAGCCCTCAGGCACTGCCTGTCCACAGGCCCCACCCTGCAGGGTCTGTGAGGTTCCTGTCTCGCCCAGGGCCCGGCCCCCAGGCTTACACCTTGCCTCCCCCACACCCTCCATCCATCTCCTTTATACCTGTCTCACGAAATACCTCTGGCCAACCCCCACTCCATCACACACACACACACACACACACACACACACACACACACACACACACACACACACACACGAAATTGATAGGCTATGGGCAAATGAATTGTAATTAAACGTGATTTGTAATTAATGTCAGCTGGGTGAGGTCATGCTTGGCCACAGCAGCGCTGGCAATCAACCCTGGTGCATAGCCTGATGACGCTGAGTGGGGCCACGGAGCCCTCCGCAATGTCCGGTCCCCACACCCCAAGCCCCCTCGCCGGTGAAACCCAGCGCAGAGCGACTCACTAGCGCGCTGACGGCCCTGCCCTGTGCGGCCACGCGAGGGCGCGCGGGAGCTCGAGGCCAGCGCGCAGGGAGGTGTGTCCAGGATGGAGTGAGCCAGGCCCAGAAGGTGCCCAGCCACCCTGAATCGCCAGATCTCTGCCAGCGGAGGTCACGGGGGAGGACGTGAGCCTCTGCCCTTTGCGCTCTGGCCTCAGGGTGCCAGTGTCCATCCACGCTGGCCAGCGGCTGCTCACAGTCCTGGGGCAGGGGCACCGTCCAGCAGAAAGGCCGTTCACATTCAGGAGGCCCAAGTGGGTCCCAGTACAACTGTGCCCACCGAGTTGAACCTCGTTGTCCTGCATGATGATTAGAACCGGGCTGAGCCCCCAGCAGGTTCCCTAAGGCCGTGAATTGGATGTAGGAGATGGTCCATCTCGCTCCCTCAAAGTGGATTTGAATGCCTGAGAGGCGCTGGGTCCTGGGGCAGCACAGCTCCTGCAGACACTGTCACCAGCACTCCGGATCGAGTTTTAAAGGGCTGCTTTTTCTTTTAAGTGTGTGTGTCTGTGTACCGTCAAATCAGATCTGACTGGTACAGGAGGAGATTGTCCCTTCTTCTCCAGCAGAGCACCTGGTGGATTAGAACAGCGCGCCTCTGGGACTGCAGGGCAACTTCTTGCCACTAAGCTACCAGAGCTCTCCAAGGGGCTGCTTTTTCCGAAGCAAATCACCAAGCCTCTCTTCCACAGTTCCTATGGGTGAACGTGAACCCCTGGCTCTGGGTGGGCACCCTGACAAAGGGTGTTGTGTGTGCCGCCCACGAGGTGCTAATTCATAGTGACCCGGGTGACAGTAAGTTCTAGGTCGTCCTTCTGGAAGCACATTGCTGTACCTCTGACCCTCAGAGCAGCTGATTGATGGCTTCGAACTTCCAACCTTGAGGTTCTCAGCTGAGCATCTCACCGTTGCACCACCAGGGCCCCTTGAACAGATATAGACTCATCGAGTCACTTCCAGTTTATAGACTCTGTATTGCAGAATAGAGCTGCCCCATTGGATTCTCAAGACTAAATCTTCACTAGGACATTCTAGTTGCCTCATCTGTCTCCCCTGGAGGAGCAGATGGGGTCGAGCCACCAGCCTTTCAGCTGAAAGTCCAGTTGTCAGTTCACTGCACCACCGGGGATCAGTCCCCATAGTTACCAGACGCCCACTAGCCAGGACCGATGCCAACGCAGCTGAGACCCTGTGGTCCCACATTAACGTACAGAGGGTCCCCGTCATGGTGTAGGAACCCAGGCGGACAGACGGGAGGGCTGAAAATATGACCTTTGTGCTTAAAAAAAGTGGGAATTCTGTCAGGAGACACTGTTTTGGGGAGAAAAGTGGAAAATACACCGCAGTCATCTGTGGAGGGGAAGACGTGAGAAGGCAGTGCGTGTGTGTGTGTCTGTGTGTGCATGTAACAGCATGTATGTTTGTGCATGAGCGCATGTGGAGTTTCCCCCTTTTTTAATGAATTTTAATGAAAGTTTACAGAGACTTATGGTTTCCAGTCATTCAGTGTTGTACTTTTCTCCCTGCCCATCCCCTCCCCCCCAATTCACTCTTCTCTTTGAAAAGTAAAACTTTTTCATTGTTATGCAATCCCTTCCCCCAGGTCCACTTCACTGTGCAGCCTTCACTCTGGACTCTTGTCACGACAATAATACTCAGTCACATGTTGTTGTTGTTATGTTGCCATTGAGTCGTCTGTGACTCATAGCGACCGTAAGTACAAGAGCTCTATATGCTCTTCTATTCTGTGCCAGCCTAGCCATCCCTTTTAAACAATTTTCTCCCTCATCTGTTTCAATGCAATATGCATCATTCATTCTTCCCCTCATTCTCTGTCTTCCCTTAACCCTGATGTCAGTCCCGTTTTACAACAGTGGCCCTATGCAATATTTGTCCTTTTGTGACTGAGATAGTTCACTCAGCATAATGTCCTCCAGGGTCACCCATTTTGAATAATATTTCATGAGTTCCTTGTTTTTCAATGCAGCGTAGTATTCTATTGTGTGAACATACCACAGCTTCTCTATCCATTTGTTTGTTGATGGGCACTTGGATTGTTTCCAGCTCTTTGCTGTTGTGAACAAAGCCACAATAAACATGCATGTGCCACTGTTGTAAAATGGGACTGATATCAGGGTTGGGGTAAGACTGTGAAAAACTGGATAAATTGCGTATACTGCACTGAAACAGATGAGGAACTGAATAATTTAAAAGTGATGTGTGATAGGGTATTATGGTTATCACAAGAGTCCACAATTAAGG